TTAAAAAATAATAATAGTCACAATTTTTTTTAAAAGCATTCAAAGTTTGAATTTTGACAATATGTGTAAAAATCACGAAAATCACGAAAATTCGCGCAAATTATTTTAAACTAGAAATTCATAAAAAWTTTTCTTTTTAAATCTAAGATTTGAAAATTTTAATTTAATCTATAATATATTCTAGACAGATAAACCGTCTTCGCTCAAAATCGTTTTTCGTATACAATGACCTAACAAAAATAATTTCATATTTAAAAAAGCGGGTAAGTATCATGGATGTCGCTCTGCTGTACAGTAGGTTACAAATGGGTAATGGATGGAATTAAATTTGAACCCAATGATATTATATCATTGTATACGAAAAACGATTCTGAGCGAAGACAGTTTATCTGTCTAGGATATATTATAGATTATTAAAAAATTTTCAAATCTTAGATTTAAAAAGAACAATTTTTATGAATTTCTAGTTAAAAATAATTTGTGAATTTTCGTGATTTTTACTTATGTTGTCAAAATTCAAACTTTGAATGCTCGTAAATAAAAATTGTGCCAATATATTTATTTTTCACCTGCTATTGTAAAAATGTGTTAGAAGCCTTAAAATGAGTTTTATATAAAAAAAACAATTGTTTTTCAACAAAATTTATATTTTACAATTTTTTTTAAAGAACCTTTAAATTTGTTAAATAGAGGTTTTACTTTATTTAAATAAAATTATTTGTTGTAAATACATATTATTATTTTGATAGGTACTATGTATAATTTAGATTTRACTGATTTGAAACTATGTGTGTAKYACGAAAATTTGAATATTTTAGGGACTGGTGCTATATACGCATATATAGTCGTATAAGTTAATACTTATTTTTATTTATTACTACTATAACCAAAAGAACCGGCACTAAAAGAAGAGTTCATTTTTATTTTTGAATCTCCTGACGAGATAATTATATTACAAGATTATAGTTAATAATATTGAATTATAAATGTAGACAGCGGCCCACCGGGAATTTTCCAATTTCCCTGTGGGCCAATCCGTCCCTGAATGTGCACGACTAAAAGAAAAAATATGCAAAAGTCATAAATATCCTAACCCTACTCATCAGGTAAGACCGACTCGTGAATAGTTGATCGGTTTTCAGGTGGTTTTTCATTTTTTGCTCTTACTCCTTAGATCGAAGTTATATACTTGGTAACTGGTTAACTACACTTTATTCTACTAATCATGTTTTTTTATGATAATTCCGCGGTTATAGCGTTTTCTTTCAATTGTTCTATAACTATTTTTGCCTGGAAATTTGAAATATCTGGCGCATGTGTATGAACCGAAYCTTTAATAATTGTCCCTTTAATTTAAAATACAAATATTGTTAAAAAAAATATAAGTAATTTACATACCGGTTTCATCCATTGTTGATGTAAAGGATGAACTGCATTTATATTTTTGATAATCGTCACAACGCCAGGTAAATTTATCGCTACCTTCCTTTTCTATAATATAAATGCATACCTATACCCGTTGTTTATTAAAATTTGTTTACCTTTTTGGCTCTTTACAAATTTTAAAGGCATTTTAACGTGATACATTAACACATTTGAGTAACATAAACAGTTATGATTGTCACTGTAGTTTGTAATGACTGTAATACTGTGTCATACAGTCTTAGCTATCTTATCTGTATTGGTTATAAGTGGACCACTGGACCATGTTAGACGGAACTACAAAGTGCAATCATTAGTACTAATGTCTAATCGTTATATTTTTTACGAAGATGATTTTATCGGAGACATTTTTCATTAGAGATAAATTGATTGAGATATTTTGACAGAAGATATTTTGACAGAAGATATTTTGTTGTATAACCTAAAAAAACCCATTAATATAAGAACACTGTCGAACGCTAAAATTACAAATTTAACCTATGTACGAAGACAGTTGGACTAATGATCATAAACGTAATCTTATCGAATTGATATTGGGGACTTATCGAATCTCAAATTATTTTCACTAAAGTTTCACATAGTTATTATTCAGACAAAATTGTAAATTAAGGATTTTCGCTCTTTTTCATTATATAAAACAATATTGTTGTTTTGGCCAGATATTTTTGTGATCAAATTAAATTTGAAAGTACTAATTTATAGTTGATCATTTAAAAGTAGTTGAAAACAAAAATATCGGTCGTTAGATAAATATTTTGTTTAGTCGTTTAGATATAATAAAATCCTTTGGTAAAAAAGTAGATAATATTTTTCTTTGTACAATATGTTAAACTATAGAATTTTTTTTAAATATTTGATGATAAAACCTCTTTTTATCTATACACTATGGTGTGCGATTTCTAAAAAATATTTATAACCGAAAACAATGGTGTATATATATTAAATTTGGGATATGCACATTTATCTCCTGAACTATATTCCATGTCTAATTATTTGACCAATCGACCATGTAGTGTCGTAAAATATAAGTGTATAGGTACTGTACATGAGACATGCAGTGCGTACCGGATGGTCATATCGAGGCAGTACTGGTAGTGTCGGGCATCATTCCGATTCACTTACTCGCCGCTGAGAGAGCCGAGATAGAACGGGCCAAAGCAAATGGCCGGGCCATAGACGTAGTGAAGCGAGATGTCGTACAACGGACAAGTGGCAGGAGCAGTGGAGCACGGCGACGAAGGGGCGATGGACATTCAGGCTGATACCAGATGTCAGACGGTGGCTTGCCAGGAAGCATGGTCAGGTGACGTACCACGTCACCCAGTTTCTGACCGGCCATGGATTCTTCAATGAATACTTCTGTCGGTTCAAACGTAGGAACGATGCTGTGTGCGTGTATTGCATGAGCCCAAGCGACGATGCGGAGCACACACTCGTGGAATGGGATAGGTGGTGGAGGCCAAGAAGAGAGTTACAGACGACGTTGGGCGTGGAGCTGAGCCCAGAGAATATGGTTGAGGCAATGATGTAATCGAAGATAAAGTGGGACCTGGTCAGCAAGTTCATTACAGCGGTGCTGTCCACGAAAGAGGCGGACGAAAGAAGATTACAATCCATGTAGTTAAGTAGTTCACTAATGTGGCCCGAAGGGCAATTTTTTGGGGATAGAGCCTCAAGAGTTTTTCTATATATCTAACTTTGTAAGAATTATCGAGTGGGGGATTGGCCCACCATAACTCCATCATGCAAGTAATGWGTTGCGCAAGCAAACAGTTCGCACCTGCTGTTCGGTGCAGCAAAAAAAAAAAAGGTACTATATATAAATAAACTGGTATAAATACGCTAGGCATCAAWCGATTTGTAATCCGTTCTTAAAATCTAATATTCAACAAACAACATTTAATTATGATATTATGTTAAATTTTATGGATAGTTATTATTTGAAAATTAACAAAATTCTTAATAGTTGTATAGATCATTATATAAACTCATCTGCATAAATTATTTTCAACTATTCTTTAATTGCTACAGGAAGGAAAATTAAAACTTTTAAACTATACCGTTTTAAAGGTATTTGATCTGTATAAGAGGATTTGGAATTAGTGTTAGAATTCTCCGTAATTTTTTTTTTTGATTTTTAACAGTTCATCTTTAATGTTTTAATGTTTTTAATTTAAACAAAAAACTATGAACACATGACCGTTATTATTCAAATTATAACTKAATAAAATAATCAGTTGATTTTTATATTAAACAAAATAGTTAAAAACTTAATGTCTAGATAGTGTACGTATGTTTAAATATATATATACCTATACATATTATTTTATACTAAAATAATAATTAAACAAATGCAACTGACGGTACCAATAGTATAGGTTATACAGAGTGTAACAGAAAGACCTGACCAAAAAAAAAAGTATGCTGATTCAACGTATGACGAAAATTATTAATATTATACGATAAGAAAATAATTTAAATAAAATATACGTATGTCAGCAAATTCTGAAAAATATATTTTTTTTAAAGTGATTACGTTCCAAATTAATTTAACCGAAAAAATTCTGAAAAATGAACTACTTGACTTAGATAAATCTTTTTACCATTAAAATTGTTCTTATAATCAGATTCACATACAGGCTATTTTGAATTCATCCAAAAAGTTTTTTTGTTAAAATAATTTTTTTTTTTTTCAGTAATAATGAGTAGTATAATTTTTCAGTAGTCACTTAATGAACAAAAAAAAAAAAAAAAAAAAAAAAAAATATTAATTTGAACAAAAGGTATTCCAAAAGTCAGTTCTATTTGTTACACATCGTATAATGTAAAATCAAAGAGACATGTTTGCCATTGTGCTACATAAGTGTTTATATTTGAACAAATGAATATTATCGAGACAAAGGAAATCTGTATAATATGTTTACAAATAAACATGCATATGATATGTCAAAAATGAATGATGTTTTATCTTTTTGATTTGAGGTGCATTTTAAAATAGTTTTTTCGAATGGGCTATAAATAATAATAATTTTCATATTCATACGATGAGTATAATTATATAATTATAATTATAAATATGCACTATGAGCTGTCAACAACTAACTTCAGTGTGCATTTTTATAATCACATGTCAAATCGTAAGTAAAAAAAAGATCTATGTTCTTATAATTTACATCTTTTCATATTAAAATATTATAYACAAATTCAAATTTAGTTTCAACATAAACCTTTAGCTAAATTATATTGAATTAATTCATTTATTTTAATGAAAGAAATTACTTTTATATATCTAATGGTAAATTCAATACTGCACAAAACGTTTAAAAATATTATATGAATGCAGTTTTCCACACTTCCACAGTATTATTATATTCAACCTATGTAGACCTTTTTTTAATAGATCAGCCCATCCTAATAATATATGTATACCAAATACAGTAAAAGACTTCAATTTCATCATAATAACTGCTTAAACAATTTTCAATTTTCAATTTAGTTTCACTTGAGTTTGATTCTGATCTGTATAAGAAACCAAATCTGTCATCCAATTCTTGATACCTATTTGGATTTTCTTTTATTTAGCTAATATTTGAGAAGTTTCTAGTCGTTGATTTTAATTGAATACTATAATATACTCTCATTAATCCTGTTGAGAATGGAGCTCATCCAAACACATGGGAAAAYAGCAGTTTCTTTTTTTTAGTTGTTTTAATAAGTTATTACTTTCAACTCTATATTGAGGCTTCTCATTTTCACTTTCATAAATATTATTAAAACTGATAAAATTATATTATAACCATTCTAAAGAGCTTTAACTGCATTTGCATTAGATTATCATCGAGTCTCAGAATGTGGTTTTAAAATATATGTATTGTATTCTTAAGGTTATCAGTTAATAATTTCAATATTTTTGTAGAAGAAGAAAAAAATACATAGAMAGCCTGAACTAATCCAAAATAGTTGACAGCTTGTATGCAAGATTCAATTGAATTTACACCAACTAAATTAAGTGAATTAAGTTTGCYATTGGGGAAATATTTTTAATTCATGCGTGGACACCAGTGTATTTACCTGCTATATTACTTGCATTATCAAATTACTGACCAATACATTTTTTAATATTTAAGTTCTAATTTTTTAAAAGATCAACAATACTARATGACAGATACTCAGCAATGTGACCATCAATACTATGAAAAGTCATAAAACGTTCAATAGGTTCACCTATATCATTTACATATCTTAATACCACTGACAACTGATCAGTATGTGTAATATCTGGTGTAGAATCTACAATAAGACCGAAATATTTAGCTTGCTTTACATTTTCTATTATATTATTTAAAACTTTAATTGTCATAATATCTTACATTTTACACTGGTAAGGATTAATTATTATAGTTTTTTGAAATATTATATTTATTTTATAAACTGAAAGTAGTATTCTAGAGAAAAAAAAATGTAAAGTACATGTAAATYTGAGGCCCCCTAATAACGGAGGTCATAGGCAATTGCCTATCCTGGCTAATGGTAAATAATATGGCCCTGTGGTATCAGAGTAACTCAGTCACCGAAAAACGTCACGTTGAGTCCTTGATGAGGTGGAAAGATGAGGTTAGAGGACCGGTTTATTAGTAAAAACTAAAAAGGTCTTTAATTCAATCATAATATATATATATATATATAATGATTATAATGTTGCTTATCGTAACTAGAGTTGTCGAGCAAGTGCTGGAATATAACTTATGTCTAGGCATGTCTAATAATGTTTGCCCGATTTTAGCTTTTTCCTATACCATAAATACTTACATRAGGGTAGGCTTTTACACTGCATCATCTCTGAGACTGTTGTGCAGTGTACACCGATCTTAAAATGTTATAAAAACGCGTATCGACCTGTATAAGTAGAATACATTTTTTTAAATGGAACTTTACACGTGAATACGTAATGCAGTGTACATGCCTAAATTAATATTATACCTTATCATTAAAATGTCTCGTAACCCGCAGGCATACGGCCAATTAAATCCACCGTTTAACATCCTATCATTGTTGACGGGAAACAGAAGCTTGCAGAATCTTAAGCCGCCACCGCCGGGCTACCACTATGAGCCGCTGGAATACGTATATGTAAACTATCCAAGCAATAGGTTCACGATACAATTCGGCCGATCGAACATTGTCAATAAAAGAAATAATGGTGGAAGAAAAAAAAATAAAAAAAGTAAAAATTCTGATGACTTCAATACTAACGACCCTCAGGAGACCGGGACAGCCGATGACACTCCTCCAGAAAATACTGATTAAGCGTAACTTTTATCATAGAGTGTACTGTACAGTGTGGGATTGCGAAACGAAATGGATGGTGGTGGAGTATTTTTWTCAACTTTTCGAAATTTGTAACAAGCAGTTTTATTAATAATGTATTCTTATGGTTTTAATCTAAGAAGTAACAATATATATAACAGTAAATATACTTATATATATATATAAGCTTATAAATAATTAAAGTAAAAATAAATTTATATAGAATATCAATAATACCCTGTAAAATTACTTACATACCCACGTATGCCTTCAAAATGAATCAAAGACAATGTTATATATTATATTTTATACTCAGATATTCTTAACACAGCATTCTTAGAAAGCCTTTTTCAAAACTTTTTTGATTAAAAATCCCACAAATTATAATTACAATAACTTTTATAGTTAACTATAAATACATTAATTCATTCATTTATTAATATATATTTAATGTTTGTTGTTATGCGTTTGCAAAACAAATTTTAAAAGATTAATTTTTTTGGATTTGTAATCAGAATAAATTTTTTTCAAATAATTTTGTTTTTTTATGTATTTCTATTCTACGGATATTTCCTTTATTTTAGATTCCGGGCGAAGCGATGGATGTATTATTGATTTTACAATGATGTGTGTGTTTTTTCTTTTTTTTGTGTGTGTGTAGGTACGCGATAAGTTGTCGAAATAATAATTCTTTGATTTTCAACTTTAGTAGCTTTACCGGTTGGAAAGTAATTCTAGTTGGTGCATTGGGGAGGTCAAATTTGAAATTCCCAGTAGTTTTTAAAAGCATAAAGAAAAACAAAAATATTAAAATTCTACGCAAAATCAATTTTTGAGAAAATCGATGTTAGATATCGGCGTAACTCTAAAACAAATAACCATAGATACATGGCATATTTACTTAATGTTTATGCTGGCATTTACTATTATTATACTAGTATACTATATACTTAACAAAATTTTCAAAATATATTCAATCTTTTTAGTTTTTTTTTTTATAAATGACAACACAGTTTTATTCGTTGGGTAAAAAGGTTCAAAATTTAAGACAATGCTCCTAATATATTGTTAGGACCGCTAAAAAATTATAAAATACATGGACACATTTTTTGTTAATAAGCATTTCAAGTCAGAATTTTGACAAAATACGTAAAAATCACGAAAATTCGCTATTTATTTTGAGTTGGAAATTTATAAAAATTTATTTTTTTTTAAATCTAAAGTTTGCCAATTCAATACAAGATTCAGTCTGAATGAGTCCCATTTGAAGGAGTTTCATCTAGAGGAGTCCCGTTGGCTGAGAGGTGTCATCTAACTTCCTTGTCTTCGTCGTTATTTGGTTTTCTATTTTTTTTATTTTTTATTTTTTCACCGATCGACCAGTCATTATTGTTTTATTTGGGCTTTTGGCAATGTTCGATGCACCGAATTGTATCGAATACGAATCGCTTGGATAGTTTTTCAAGGTGCATTCCACTGGCTCATAACGATRATAGGCTGGCCGTGACCGCAACATACAGCGGTTCATCGAGGATTGTGAGAAGTTATATACAATAAATCGAATTGCCCGGATGCCTGTGGGTTATGAGACATTTTAATGTTAAGGTATATAGAGTATAGACTATAGATATAATRATATACATTTAGATATTATGTACACTGGATCACGTGTATAGTTCGATTTGAAATATTATAATTTATATTSTACTTGTACGGGTAAGTATAACACATTTCCAAAATTTTGACATCGAAGTTTTCGCCATAAACACTGTAGAATATTTTTAAGACAATACAGTGAGAAAGTCTGCACTTATGTATARATATACTAATATATTATAAACTGTTCGGTTGAACGTTGAATCTGCAATTTTATGATATTTTTCTAAAAAATATTTAGTTCAATTATGTCATTGTACTAGATTTTTTATAAATAATAACCTGCTTAAAAAATTTWAAAYATTTAAAAAATATACAATGGCTTCAAAAGTGYCGCATATCCTGAAATCAAGTTTGTATATGTATAAGTTATATGATATTTTCATATATGAACAAAAGTAGATTATTGGAACGTAATGCAAATATTTTACTTACGATTTGACATGTTATGTTGTCATAAATATGCACACAGTTGTTAGTTGTTGACAGGCCATAGTTCATAATAATAATTACCTACTCATCATGACATCATATAGATATTAAATTTGTTATTAAGGAAATTCGATAAACATCTATTTGAATAGCGATTAATAACTGTAGCTCAATTTAAAATGATTAAATTTCATATTATATCTTYGACATATTATATACGCATATTATTATGACTATAGTGTTGTCTCGATAATATTTTATTTGTACAAATAACATGATGGCAAACATATCACTTTGGTTCTGCGTGATATTTTAGGTACCGTCAGTCATTTGTTTAATTATTAAATCTATTTATAAAATTTTAMAAATATTCAAACGTATACCTACCTATAATAACGAGTAACGAATTATCGTTAACAGGTCGACTGTCATAAAAATTGAGAGTTGTTATTATTGCTTGCCTATTTCTCTTTTCTTATTCTTGTGTGGCTCTATGTCCGGAAGTAAGCACGAAGATCTAGTTCGGACGACTATTTAGCAGAATTTTAAATTAGGCAGCTGTAAGTTTCTGCTATGTCCGGTCGGGGGATGGTGATCTCATCCCCTAAACAGTATTGTGTGTCCAGAGAAAGATATCACCCGTGATMGGGATTCGAACGTGCGACGGTGTGTGTTGGAACCAACGCCGTAATCCACTCGGCCACTCCGTCCCCCATTATTAMCTTTAATCCCACAATATACATTTACCTCTAGGCTATATAGTATGCGTAACGTGTCCATACGTCCCACTTTTGAGCTAAGTGAAAAATTACTACATTTAAAAAYACTAAATTTTCCAATATTTTATTCGTTAAGTAAAAAAGCTTCAAAATTTAATAAAAGGCTCCTGATATATWGTTACAATGGTAGTTAAAAAAATATTAAAAATACATAGTCACAGTTTTTTTTAATAAACATTGAAAGTTCAAATTTTAACAAATACATAAAAATCACGAAAATTTGCAATTTATTTTTGGTTAAACATTCATAAAAATGTAATTGTTTAATTCTAAAATTTGAAAATTCAATGGAAGATTCTTCATGAGTTTGTTTACTTTTATCAAATTAAAAATTTCTACCGTAATCTCAAACTAAATTTTTAAGAGCATTTAAATTACAACATTGAATTTTCACTCAATTTCTCTTGTACTGATATTTTTATTTTGTTGTTATTAAAAAATCAATAACTCTAGAAACTTGAAATTTACACCATATCTATATTTTATTAATCTATATACTTGATAAAATTTTAAAAATATTTCAACAATTTTTGAATTATTTATAGACATGAAATTTTCAGATTTTTATCCCATAAAATGTCAATAAAATTTTATTCCAAATTTAATAAAAAACTCAATTATGCAAACCCCACCATGGTCTACCAAAATCGACATAAACGTAGAACTTTCAGAAAAGAAAAAAAAAGAAACTTCTCCTGAAATTTTCAAGAACCTGTTCTATGATCTTAAAAGCAATTTATTAGGACAAGTCTTGTCCGACAAGACATATATACCGACGCTTCAAAAAGCGAACAAGGAGTAATAGGAATAGCTATTATAATTGAAAATAACATAACATCAAATAAACTTCGAAAGAACTTCTGAAGCCATCACCATATAATATCAGCACTAAAACTTATTGAAAATGATCCACATCAGTATTACAATATTTTCACGGACCCCTTTTGTACCATCAACAGCATCCAAAATAATTTCCTAACAAACGACATTGCCACCATCATCATAAACCWAGTAGAAAAACTAAAAAACCTAAACAAGTAGATCAAATTCATATGGACACCAAGATAATTCTAAAATTAACGGGAACGAACAAGCTGATCAACACGCAAAAAATGCAACACTATCTAAA